CACGCAAAGCTGAAAGGGCTAATAACCCAAAGGTCTCCTCGTGTGTTAAATGCGGTATAAATAGAACTGTCGCTCGCTCATCCCTCGCCACTGTGTCTAACGACCTTACAGAAGGGAGAAGCAATTTGAATTAGAAACTTTTTTTTTTTTCCCCCAAAATAAAAAAAGGGGGAACGTGGTCGTTTTTTTTTACTTTTAAATTTCGAAAAAAAAAAAAAAAAAAAAAAAGGAGAACGAGAGAAAAAATAGAAGCTCGTGGACAAATTTCAGGAATCGATATAATCGACGAGTTACGGGATACTCGATACGAGTTGTACGCGAGGAGAAAAGTTCGTGGAATCGATGAACGGGGGCCAGAGCCAGGACAACAGGAAGGGATCTTGAAGAAGGAAAAGTTGTGGTTTTCCAGAAGGAAACGAGCAAAAGAATGGTAGAAGCGGAAGAATAAGGTGAAAGATCAAGGTAACGAGGAGGAAGGGCGGGAGGGAGGGAAAATAAAAACAAATAGCAAGGGGAAAATTACAAAAGAGGGTGGAAAGAAAGAGAAAGGGGGCTCGGCCTCGTAGATTTCGCGGCGCAAACGGGGCAGGCGCGAGACGATCAATTACGTAACCCGATAAAAGTAGGTCACGTGTCAAAGTGCGGAGCCATCCCCAAGGTGTCCAACTTTTTGGTATAAGCTCGTAAATTACCAGTCAGCTAGCTGCTGCTACCCCCACGGCTTTAAATAGAACGTTGGCAGAGGCTCCTGTCCAACTATCTCTCCTTTTCCCCCCTCTTTCTCCGTCTGTTTCTCTCCTTTTCCCTCCTTTTCCCTCGGCCATCCTTCAATCCCCTGCTTTCTCTTTTTCACTCTGCCTAAAGCTTCCCCTTCATCCCTCGTCCGGCCCTCTCTTGTTCCTTTATCACGTAGATCGCTCTCCGTTTCGTCGAACACGAGGCAAAGTTAGCCGGACACGTAAGTCGCCGGTCGTTAGTCGCCGACGACGATAGCTCGTCGAGCTACCAAGAGAAGAAAACAAGAGAAACGAGAGGGAGACTGAGAACGAGAGTCTTTGAGAACGGAGAAAGAGAGTGGAGGGGGTTGGGCGAGGGAGGAAGGAAGACAGAGAGGGAGGAAGAGGGAAAAAGAAAATTCCTGTGTACCTATTCCAGTGCGGGCCAAACAGGGACAGACAGAAGAGAACGAGAACGTCTCTTTACGTGTGCAAGTATTCCCGTGCAGACCAGGCGAAGTGAAAGAGGGAGAAAGAGAAAGAGAGGGAGAGAAAGAGAAAGAGAGAGAGAGAGAGAGAGAGAGAGAGAGAGAGTGAGGGAGAGAGCGTGACGGCAGGAAAGCTAAGACAATCAATAAGATCGCCGGGTCCGAAGGAGCTCGTGCTCGGATTCGTCGAGTTGCTTCGGTACTTCTTGCCAGGGACCACGAGACTCGCGTTTAACAGCTAAGTCGTAGCCTATCGTCGTTAAACGCAACGTCCCGAATTAGGATCCCCTCGAGAAAATGAACGAGAGAGGAATGAAGACGGACGGCTGGGAGAGCGGTGGAAAAAGAAAAGCACGTAGGAAAACTAAAGATACCGAAGGGCAGGGAATTAGGAAGGACACCGACGGGATTTTACGGAAGAAAAGACGAGAAGCAAAGACGAGAAGAGAAGACGGACGGAAGGGAAGGCGCCAGACGGAGAGATAGAAAAGAAGAGAGTTGATACCTCGAGGGGTCGATACCTACTCTAGTCAGCGGCAATCGGATAGGTCAGGATAGACGGGGATAGGCTAGGATAGTCGTTGGTATAAGGCATATATATGTACAGAACAGCCAACCAGCGCCGCCTCATTCGGGGGATGCATTCCGACGCTTGCACGAGGATAGTAATTTCTGGATACCAACCACTAAATTCCAACGATCAGTCGTCGTCTAGTGGCAGAGAAATTACGATCCGAGATCTTCGCGATTGCCCGGCTGGTTCGACCTTCGAACGGAAACGAAATCCCAGGGAAATCGATAAAGGGGGAAGAAATAGTGGAAAGACCTTTTGCTCGGGAGAACAAAAATCGTAAGTTTGCCCTGCCCACGTAGATGAAGCACGAGTATGGAGAGGTGACAGAATCGCCGCTCTGGCGGATATTACCGGAACTACGAATTATCCCCATCGGGGCTTACCCGCTAGGGTGCAGTTCTTTCGGGAGTGCTTCAATGGAGGGTGGCAAGCTCGAGTTCTACTACACGGTTCAAACTGGGCTGTGACACCAGTCGATAAGGAAGACAGCTTGCTTAACAATGGTTTCCGGGAAGGAAATATAATTCCTCGTAACAGGTATATAGAGTCGTTGCTACGGGAAAATCGTTCGAGTAGTCACGGTATCGCGAGTCGATTAGTCTCGATACCATCGTGCAAAGGGTGTTTCTTTGTCATTCCAATTTCTACACCGCGTTACGTACTTTCGTCTAATCTTTTATTCACGCCTCGTGTTCCATAAGCTCGCGTAAAGCAAAACAGTAAACGCGTATAAAGCCTGAATCCTACTTTGCGGGCGTAACTCGTCGATAGCGGCGTTGACTTGGTAATAATTTTCAAGGGAACTCGTGTTCTATGCCCCTTAACAAGGAAAGAACTTTACGTCTGAGTGTACAACAGCAGAGAAGCCTCGATTACACAGAAACTTGCGTCGATATCGATTTCCATGCAACTGTTTCTATTTATTTCACATTTATCTCGCTCCCTTTTCGCGTCGAAGGCGAAAGAACCTTTGTTTTATATTGGATATTTTTACAAAAAGAACGCGATACCGATATATACACACAAACACACACACACACATATATATATACACATACACGTACAGATATCGACGTTGAAACGTTTCAAAAACGCATCGAATCGTGAAATTCTAGCGAGTCGAGAAGAGGGTGGTTTCAAGATCGAAACGGCTGTCCTACTTTCGGTAAAAGCATTATACGGACCTACATGCGTGGATTCGAAGCAAAACATTTTTTCAGCCACCACCACCACGCCTTCCCACCACGCTGCCAGCGTAACTAGAAAATGAAAATAGCTGCTAGTATTTCACCAGGCCACCCAACCCCCGTTGCTATACTCTTCGCGCCAAAAACGTTTCAATTACTTCCTTCACCGACTCGTAACGTGTCCTATGATTCTCCGATAGTTTACGTCCCGTTTATAGATATCGCCCGTTACTAATCAGCTTCGTGATTCATGCGCAAATACGCATCGTGGAAAATGTTTCGAGACGAATTGAACACCGGTAACGTATATTTCTGTCACGCCACGTATATTCCAACGACTGTGTATAACTAGGACTGCATATGCATACCGCGTGCATATATTCAATTCTGGAAACGTGGGACAAGCAAGTCACTTCGGAGAGCGATAAAGAGGGAGGCCTTTGACGACGAAAGAATGGAACACGTGACGTCGAAGTTCAGGATGAAAAAAAGAGAGAGAGAGAGAGAGAGAGAGAGAGAGAGAGAGAGAGGAGAAAGAGAGAGTGGAAGAAAAATTATACGACCGTGATAGCGCGCCTCTCGTAAGCCGGATAAAAAAAAGTTTCAAGGAGGTCTCGGAAATGGATCACCTTTTTCCTTTTTCCTTTTTTTTTTCCTTTTTTCTCAAAAGTTTAACCAGATTCCTGCTTCGAGTAACTCAACCTTGACGCAATAAAAACAGAAAGATACCCCTTTGGTCTAAAATCCGCATTTCATACGACCAAATCGAAAGATGAAAAAATAACTTTACAGGTAATTAAATATCGTGCAACTATTTTCGCGAGAGCACGAGATATTTTCAGACCCGACGAATCGATATGTATGCATATAATTCGTTAGGGGACGCGATATAGTGTACACTTAACACGCTCCACCCCCGGTCGCGGTGTTAAAAATTCATTAATACGAAGTTCGAGTAATTGTTTCCCTTGTCATAGAAGTTAATATAAACTATGTATAATTCATGCGGGCTTAAATAGTTTTGATTCCGAACGAAATTCGATCGATGAGGTTCGTTTAAAATTTAAATACGAGACTTAAAGGGGAAGAATTAAAGAGCGCGCTCGTTTCACGAAATACGACGGCGTTATGCACAGAATCCTGAATTATCCGAGACAAGGGATGAAAAACTAGGAGAGACTGAAACGGTAAAGCGGGGTTGTCTGGAAAAAGAAAAAAAAAAAAGGAAATTAAATAAAAATCGAACGATGCATATTATTTTCTTTTCTTTCTTGGATCACGAAACGTCGTTTTATAACTCGCAGGTAATATATATATATATATATGATTTTATTTCGTGCCTCGAAACGAATCAAACTTTCGCTTTGTTTTATCTGTTTAATTAATCTGTCGATACATGGAATAACGCACATCGTCACGAGATCTCCAATTTGCTGGAAACTTTTATTAGAGCGGTTTATCGCGTTGCGAAAAGCAGTGCCACGCGTTGGAAATATTCTTTTAGACCCATAGCGTTGCCTAATATCGACAAAGAGAACGGAAAAGGGTTGGCGAACAGAGAGTGGTTGAAAGGATAATAAAAGAAAAAATGATTGTTCCGTGTATACGTGGCTGGATTTATCGAACTTGTTCCCTAACACAAAGAAAGGTTGGTCGAATGGAAACAGTGTGTTCTATTTCTTCGCAAATCAACGCACTTTCGCCGACTATTTCGCGTGTATCGACTATAACGAAAATCACGATTGCCCCGCCGTGCCCTTTTCCATCAACGAGAAATAAAACGATTGGTGGCACGAGGATCGTTCGGATGGCAAACAGGAACATAAAGCCATAACTTGGTAAACGTTTGCATCGACTGGAAACTGACGATCGTAACAGTGGAGAGCAGCGGAGAGGTCGTTTCCTCTCGGTGCATAAACAGCAAAAGGTAAATTATTGGCTTGTAAGAAGTACCGGCCGATAGGGGAATAAATAATTCACGGGAGGATCGGCTGGTCTGTCAAAGGTAAAAGGAAGTAATGGCGGAAGTACTTACCGGAGATGGGATCCGCGCCATCGAGCTTCCTGTCTAAGGAGACGTTCTCGTGAGCAGCTTCCTTGCTCGTCCTTGGACGACATCCAGAGTTCGATTCACCGGTACCGATCCCTTCTTGGCTCTTGTGATCGTTTCTAAGGTGATCGTTTCTCTCGTTCGACTTGGAAGCTCCGTTACCGACCACGACCTTCGTTGTCGCTTTGCTACCAATTGCCCCGGTGTTTCCGTTTAGGTTGCCGTTTACGTTGACATTGTTACCGTTCGCGGACGAATGATTGTCAGCCTGGTGAAAAATGTTGGATGTCTTCTGTGGAACCTTGTCGTTACATCGCAAGAACTTTTCTAGTCATCGCAATGAAACATTTACGAAGCAACAACGTGTACTCGAAACGAAAAGAAAGAAAGGAAATCCTGTTAATATCGGGGTAGTTAAATAAGTCAGCTTAGTTGTTTCGAGAGAGGACTCGTGACAAAAGTTCCTATACGGAACGCGTGGCTGCGTTCAGCTTTTTACCCGATAGAAAAATCCAAGTTGATCCGGTGGAACCGCGCAATGAATTAATCGACTCACCGTGGTGGTCATGCAGGTCGAGGAGGATGAGCGCACGACGACGATACGATTCTGATTGTGATCATTGGAGGCAATCGTGGACACGGCACCGTGATTGGCGAGCCCATGGGTCTCGTGAGCGTTATTGGATCCAGCATTGGAATTGGTGTTACTGGTAGCGACGTTACTACCGAGGGAAGTCTGTCTGATCACCAGAACGCTGCCAGCCGGCTCCAACACCACTACTTGCCTCATCCTCGCCGTCCTCTTTTAAGTCTTTCTTGCTGTTACTGACGAAGAAGGAGAACGTGCACAGGTTGCACGAAAGCTTCCTCGAAAACGATCCTCCTTCTTCGGCTGATCCAAGTATCCGACGGGAAATGCGTTCTCCAGCCTCCACCCCTCGGTTCTTAAAGCTCCAGCGCGATTGCTGCCACCTGCTCCTCCTGTACACACGTACACCAAGATACCCGATATTAAAGCTGTCGTCTTAAAGGATGATCCTACTTCCATCCTATTCCATGTCACGGCCTACTCTCTCTCTTATGAACGTGTCATCCGAGCATGTACCAGCGTGGCTTCTTTCGGAAGGCAAATCGATGAGATTATTTTCCCAGCCGTCTGTGTCTACCTTTCACGATCGCTTTTTACAGCCCGTTTTACTAAAGTATCAGTGCTAACGCTTAACGCCAGTACTAACGCTCAATTTTAAATCCCTTACCCTCCTCCGATTGTAAACATCTGACGTTACGAGCTCCAACATCCAGATATGCATTTCGAGATCTAACCTATCTTTCAACGGCAATATTCCCTAACGATGTTTTTCGCCAATCGTTTACCAACTCTTGCTCTAACGAGCGTTTCGTATCGTTACGATTGAAGAAGAGACAAAGAGAGAGAGAGAGAGAGAGAGAGAGAGAGAGGGAGGAAAAAGAGAGGGGGAGAAAGGAAAGGAAAAACGTTACAAGCATGAAATATATTAATGGCCAGTTATCACGGGGGATTTCGTGGACTCGTGATGGATTGCTCGCAAAAATAAGAAATGAATATACACAGGTTCGAACATTTGAAACCGCTCCAAATAACGTCGCGATATTAAGTTCTTGGATCGAAAACACGCGAGGGTGTTGCGTGTATCCAAAATCATGGCTGGAGAAACTATATCTATCGAAATTAATCTTCCTTTATAAGAATAATTTAATTTCCCTCCTAGATACACGTGTATCGGTTTATATAATGGAAAAGTGGTCGATTCGTTTAACGTATTCTATTCTAAAGTCCCGAGTAATCGTACAAATAGATATACAAATCCGCGCAAGTACCTGCAATTCTATTTTTTATGACTTCATAGCTAGTTGGCTTTCCAAAGTTGATTCTAGTTGGCAGCCATTATCATATATGCGATTCTTGGCAGCCATTATCATAGATTTAGCCAGTAAAACTGAGTCAAAGTCTTCCGAAAAACGATTCCATCACAGACACACGAGAGACTTGAAATTATTCGAATAGGGGTAGAAGCGTTGCCAGTTTTTTGATGAAATCCGAAGCACAACGTTCCCAAACAAATTGTCTTTCACTTGTAATTCAAAAATAATCAACCGTTTCTATCCGTCCCTTACGACTAAAATTAAATTTCACAATCTCTCGCGGTACTGCCGTCCTTTTTTCATTTCGAAATTCAAACTCGCGGCGGTTTTTTTCCAATTGAAATTCGTAACGGTTTTCTCCGTTGAGATTTAAAAGTCTCCCTAACGATTTCTGCGCGTTCGAGTTTAAATTTTTCAACCTCCCTGTATATTTTTTAACGCACAGGTAGGAGGAAAATAGGAACAGCTACGATTGTCTTAATTCTATACGATTAAAATCACGCAACTTCGTCTGTTTAGCATAGCGCAATTGTGACAACACGTTCGAGTGTCCTACATTTGTGGATTCACCGATCGATAGCGAGCTTTGTGTGTTTCGTATTCCAAGACAAACAGCCCCTAATGGTACCGATTAGCACGAACACACTTTCGATTATATCGGCAAAGAGCCGATAAGAAATTTCCAAATCCATCCCAACTACCCACTGATGGAACGTCGTTCCTCTCGTTCGAGAATCGAGGAAAAGCCGATAATTCACAAAGGAGCACCATCTACTCGGAATTTCGTCATCCTCCACGCCCTTTCAGTTCCTACCACCCTCCTACCAACCCCACTGTACACTTTGACTTCCCCACTCGCCTCGACGACGGTTACTCTCCCTTTGAGGAAAACAAACTTAATTTCCGGCTTGCAGTTAGATTCACGAAAATCGATCTCGCACTCGAATCTGTAGCTAAACAATTGCAAAATTCCACGGTACTCGGGACGCTGTTCAGATTCGCGAAATTAAAGTGGAATGAAATGAAAATTAATTATGGACGGTAATCACCAGTACGCGAGTTAAACTATGTACGAAACAATGCGAGGTCTGATCGCACTTCCTGCAAAATTTCCCTTCTCACTCGAAAGTCCATAACGACTAAGTACTCGAGAGAAGAGACTTGTCTACTCGGAATTTCATCATTCTCCACGCCCTTCCGGCCTCTTATTCTCTCTCCCTCTCTCTCTCTCTCTCTCCGTCACTCTATCTCTCTCTCTCTCTCTCTCTCTCTCTCTCTCTCCCTCTATCTCTATCTCTATCTTCACTGCACTTCAGAGTTTGGGATTCACCTTGGAGACAGTTACCCTCTTGCCCTCCGCTTTGAGAGCAGAGACCTAATTCTCCGACGCATTTCAACCCTCGTAAAATACGATCCCACACGGGAACATCGCTACGACACCTTTCGTACACCTGGAAACTATTATCGCGCCTTGATTAGACGTTACAAGATTTCCTGCGTTCACCGTATAACGCATTATCGAAGTTCGATCCTCCCGGAGAAGATCGCTTGCATATTTTTCATCCGGAACTACGGAACAGGGAAAGAAAATGTCAGACGATATTGAAAGTTACAACGTAAAGCAAAATTATAATACGCACGCTTGTCTTCCTGTTTGTTTGATCGCAAATTAACCAATTTAACGCTTGATCGAGCACCAATAATCCTCCAACAAAAGACGTTCCAATCGTCTACGACAGGCACGTGGCTCACAAAGGAACACGATCTACGTGGAATTTCGTCATGGTTTCTCGATCGTTCAACCATCCTCCACGCCCTTCCGGCCTGTTACACCCTCCCCTAGACCCCTTTGCCCTCTTAATATCTCGCTTGCTCGCTTTAACTTTGCGATTCACCTTGGAGCCAACCACCCTTCCTTTGAGACGCACTGACCCAGTTTACTCCTCCCCATGAATCGGAAAATTCGAGGCATGAATTTTGAAAAAAGGCGCCTGCGATAGCCTGTAACCAGTTTACGAGCACTTCTCGGGACATCGCTACGACTTCTGAATAACATATGAAATCGGGAACGGTGCCTTTCTGCCACACGGCGATCGACCGAACAACGAATCGATCGAGAATTCCGTCTGCTATCGTATAATTTTCCAGCGTGAAATTGCACGTTCGCGCGAAACGATTAGCACGGGATTGGCAAAGAGAAATCATCGAAATCGCAATCGCGCGGAATTTTTTGATGACGTAGTGGTCTTTAATAGACACGAAGTTCCGAGGCAGTCATCCAGGAGCACTAATTATCCAGGTTGCGCAACGGTGTTCGCGATTCTGCTAAACAAGATATACTTTCGCACGCAAATACGGCGTTACGAACACCTGAAACGCTTTTGTAGTATGCGTGGAATGTCGATCAATTCCATGTGTCGCGTGTCAGTTGATACAACAGCTGACGAGTTTGTGCATCGAGAGCACGTCCAACGAGCTAAACAGGATAATTTTCGCGAAATTTCAAAGCGCGTTACGAACGTGATGTCGCTGTTTCACAGGTGGCAGCGAGGTACAAAGGAACGCGTACACCCAGATCCGATCGGGACTTGAAGGAATCTCGCGAATAGAGATCGGCTGGAAGCTTATTTTTCTGCACGGAGAACAAGCGAACTCCCACGCGTACACGAAATTACCAGCAAAGTGCGTTTCTTTGCTTTTGGTCGCGATGCACCATCGTTCGCCTTTATATTCCTTCCATTATTTGTTTATTCCACCTTCGAGAGATGTCGACCTAGTTCTCATCTACATGTACATACAACCCGGAGAATGGGGAGTAGTGGACTTGAATTTTGGAAAAGGACTTCGTCGTCCGTGTATTCCTACAAAGGATTTTATTCCCGTTCGCCTCGAACATTTGTGTATTTCTCCGCGAATCCGTTACGGATAGAAGTTACAAACTGGCTACGAAAATTGCACAAACGAAACGCTCGGCAAAGACAAGTCGAATTCGAAATGGAAAATTTGTTTCAACGTTTCCCGTTGCTCGCGTATCAACGGAAGCGATTACCCTCGTCGCGCTAATCGGCGATTTTACGGCGTAACGCGATGAAAAATATGCATCGTTAAATTAACGCTTTGGGCACGCGTTGATTCAGCTCGTTAAAAGCAACGCAATTTACATATATTAGTTTCGTGCAAGCAAGGTAACCTTACTGGCGCAAAAACATTCGCTGTTTTTGCGGTGTTTTCCTAAACTAGCAGCATCTCTGGACAAAGTTCGTGCAAAAGAGTGGAGCATTTTAGCCGGTGCAAACTTGTTTGCTTTAAGTCCGCCACGATGCCCATGCTTGCCACACATTTCAGTTTGCCCAACATTAATATCCTGCACGAATGCATACAACGCACCCGGACTATCTCCGACGCTTTTCAGCCCTAAAGACTATTACCGGATAGAGGTTACAGCTTCCCTACTTTCCTGCTGCACAGTTGCAGACCGATCTCCTGTACAACCGCTTTCTACCTGCGAATTTTTCCTCGCAACCCGGCCACGCTTACGTAAATCCAAGCGAGACGCTATCTCGGTCGAGCAAAAATCAAACGGAACACACCCTGTGTGTCAGACATACCCTTCTTCCAGGGCAACCAGAAACGGAATCCCCCTTTGCAAACTTGACGATAACTTCCGCGAGCAATACTTTCAAGAGCAAGGTGAATCGTTCAACAGCTCGACCTCGACTGGGCCAGATAGCAAGCGCCGAGACATCCAGTCGAGAAAGCGAAGCAAGTCGTCCCGAATCGTGTAGACGTTGTCAACAAGTACATACGTTCAAAATCGTATGTGCCCTGGAACACAAATGATAGGTAGTCGAGAAAATTGATCGAATTAGCTGGACATTACTCGGGACGAGAAAATGCAACGCGCGAACAGACGGTAAATAAAAGTCTATGGAGACTTGAAAATTCTATTCTATTTTTCAATGAAAAGGTCTACGCTTCGAGTATCGTAATTTCCCTAGATTCATCGTTCCACACGATTCTCCTTGACGTTATGTATTTCTTTTCCTTCGACGATAACATGCAAGTTCCGTTTCGCAGGAAGAACGTAGAAAATGGTAATGAAAATATGTCTGGCATTCCGGATGCTCGCGTGAAGCACGTGATTCGGTAACAGATAAAGCGAACGTAAGGTAATTGCGTTTCTTTTGTTGCATCTTTTAGAGACAAATCCGATTTGTCTTCGAATGTCCGATCTGCTAATTAAGTTTACGAGTACGATCATTTAACGTGCTACGATAGCATCGTCAATTGGCCATTTGTAACGTTGTAATGGTACATTAACGGTGATCGTATTAAGAGTGAAAATCGTGCGGAAACACGGCGATTATGGGGGAATGGGAAAACGCGAATGACCTCGCACGCCTCTATTTAACGCAACGCAAAAATAGATCGGCCTTTTCGAGCAACACCATTTCCCACAAATTGCTATTAACGTATTTAATCACGTTACATCGTACGCCAACGTTTTTCTGCAAATCATTCCCGTGCGAGAGAACACCGAACGCTATTTATATTCGATACATGCCGAACGCTTTCGTGTCATTGCGATAAAATAAACGTTATTGCAGATCGAAACGAGCGGAAAACGCGTGGCCGCGAACAATTTATTTCGATGGGACGAAGTGGACGCATTTGTTAGGTTCTATATACGACGTTCGCAATGTTTCCAAGTATCTTTCTCACCGTGAAAGGAATCAGGATGCAGCGTACCATGTATGATCTACGCAATGTCGCCGGAAACGATAACGGATATGCACGTTTCCTCGCATGGACGATACTAAAGTCGCATTATCGTTTTTCTTAATGAGATGGAGAGGATAAAACAGCAGGCGCCTTACGACGAGTTCCTGTGCAGTTAATTTGGGCCGCAGGAAATACGTGGAAAATACGTAAACCTTCCTACGATTCAATTGTCATCCTCCAATTATCTTTGCCTCGGCACCACGTGATTAGCAACGCAACCTTCCCTATCATTGATCCAACGTACATACGTGCACGGTGGAGTCATGGACTTTAGTAGTAACATCTGGTAACTTGGCTGTCCGGGTGTAAAGAGGCCGAGAAAAAAAAAAAGGAACATTATCAAAGTCTTAACGTCTACTGGTCGATATAAATGACTACGTTGGCAGGCAAACGATAAAGATATCTCTGGATAAGACTGTACCAAAACGTATGGTTAAATCGAATGCGAATTATGCTAGGAAAAGAAGGCTAATCTGTCTTCTCGATTGCCCGCCAGGGTTTCGAGGTAATTAAACTCGTATACTTATAATCGAAAGGCGTATAATGAATTTTTGGATCACAGCTTACCTTCGAAACTCAATGAAATTTGATTATAGCTTCATGAATGACCTTCAGCGCAAAACCAGTTGACAAACATACGGTGTTATAGAGAGGTGAAATGACGTCACATGGATGATTTATCTCCCGTGTCTTGAAAATTAAGACGATATCACCGTGCAACTGAAAGCAATCGAACCTGGTGTCTCGCAACGATGCATCGACCCAATTTCTTTATACGAAAGATATCGAAACCTGGGAAGGTACTAAAACTGTATACACAGCTTCGTCCGGAAGTATAAAAATGAAACAAGACTCGGACACGAGACCACGAAGCACCACGGACAGTTCATTGTTGCAACTATCGAACAAATCATCGGCCATTAAGCTATCTAAGAACATGCCAGAGATTAGAGAGATCTATCGGTGATATATTAGAGATAAACGATAGTTGGAAGATAACTGAGAGATACTCGTAAGAGGCAAAGGTGTGTTTCCCACATCATAGCCCGATTGGATTTATCGATTTAATCGGATCTAATCCCGTTGATGATTGAAGTGAGCCTGAGCGTGAAACTTTGTGTCTTTAATATACTACACAACAGGTATCCCTCGTATGTGAATGCACCGACAGTTCTATTATTATCGTTGCACGTGCCGCTCTATCGGCAGATAACCGCTATATATACGTTCGATAGTCGCCTCGCACATAATGGACTATCATATTTATTTGATTTTTAATGCTACACATGTACGTCCAATACTCATCGCTGTGCGTATACGTGAGAAGCACGCGTCCAGATGTTATATACTTGGGCTGTACAATCTTGGTATTGTGTAGAATTTCTAAGCGTCCCACACAGTGCCAGACATGATACCGGTTATGCGTTGCACTCAACAAGTCCAAAGAAGTCTGTGTCTACTTTTACTTGCATTACCCGTGCCAAGAAATCCTATATATATCGACGATTTTTGTGAGCTAAAATACAGAAAAAAAAAAAAGAAAAAATTAATATATTTAGAAAAAAGCAACGTAAACACCGCTGTTGGTTTACGATAATTCGGGTAGTAATTGGAGGTGTGGCGGTTGAACGTATACGAGTATCTAAATAACTCACGAAACAGGTGTACGTTTAACGTATTCTCCGAACGTAGAGGAAAACAATGCACGCGCGAGTCATCGCGCAAAATCGTAACGAGTGGTCTAACGCGAAGTGCGATAAACAGCCGAATGCTGCTAGCTTTCGCTTTCCCTCTAGAATATTCAGTTCTTCTTTTATCGCGCGATGTGTGCATCGAGCACAAGGTTTCCTTAAACAGAAGATTACAGCTTGGCTTCCAAGTATACTTTGAATCGACCAGCTTTTCGCCCCTAAGGCACCACTGTCCGTTTTGTCTTTTAATAGCCTCTGCTGAAACTTAAAATTCCAACCGCCCCACTGGCCGAATATCGATTATCGTTACGGATGTAGCGCGATAAGATGAATGATAAAATAAGCAGTGACGGGAATGAAGCAGGGTAGTACTAAACGGTGTTGATTTAATGGTTAAGAATTCACGATGCAGAATGAAGCCGTAAAGGTGACTCGCATCGGCTACGATAGAATAGCTAGTAGAACCACAAGTGGCAGGAAACACATATAGTAACGTTCTTGATAACAGCTGATTACGATGAGCTCGCCCAGACACAATGGTCGCCGTTTAATGAACCACGCTGCACGCTGACATTTCGATACGCGATGTATTATTACAAACAGCTCGCCTCATTTCCCGCCAAAAATCATAATTCGATACGACCGGGTTCATTATTCCTTGGAACTGTCACCGACGAAACGAGCACCATTCCATTGGAATATTCGACCGATACTTAAGAAACGGTTCGTATAGCCATGATACGAATACACCAATCACAATTAAGAAACACGTTCTTTCGGCGTATTCGCAATCGACAATTTGAGAAATAACACATGCGGGTACATAACAAAAATTATAAAATTCTCGATACCTTCGTTTATGCCAGAGCTGCAGGTTTACGGTATGTACTAAAAATAGCGGTACCCATAAAACTGCTCGGTGAGAATCGCCACGAGACCTCGAGGACGTGGCGTATACAATACGCGACCACGGTGTAACCTAAACACTGGCAAACTGACCAGAATTCTAAGAATTTTGTATCCACCAAGAGCCACTGAAGCGAAAAGAAAACGGAAAAAGTAATCATGGACAGGGAATTTATCATCGGTCACGTTTGGGAAAATTTCTGTAAGACACGACAGCTTAATAAAGAGACAGCGTACAATACGAACGTAAACTGCCTCACAGAATGTATATTATGACACTTATCGCGAATGAATACGTATTTGATCGAGTAAAATGACTCATTGTATTAAGTACTTACAATATCTGTGCTTCGTGTGACAGAAGGCCCGTAACCCGTGTCGAGAGGGTTCATCTTGAGACGATTGTTTACGCGGCGCCAACACTTGGATCAGTGAAAAATCACCACTTTACCACCGACTCATAATCGTGCATTACTTATATACACGAATCTCTTAATGTATCGTTGATTTTCACGCATAAAATCGTGTGATCACGCGTGCCTGCGCTCGCGGTCGATCCTTGGAATCCATGACAGGTACGAGCACGGGTATGGCTGCGAACCGCATGCGCCAAAGCAGAAGTTATCATGCTCTACCACCAAGGCAAGCGGGTAACATGTAGATGAGAAACTCCGCTTCGAATTTAAATTTCTACTTCGAGTCCACACCGATTGAATTGTATCCACTCGAAACCTTAATTAATCCAACAGATTAAAACTAATTAGGACGCGTCCCTTCGCTTCTCTTTTCTCCATTGGCGTTCGTGTCAACGTTCAATTTGTTGCGCGTCAAATCAATTACTCGATCAATTATGAAAAAATGCAATTTTAAATTAATTAACAATTCGGAGCAATTATTAAATCTTCAATTTATTTTCTCTATTACATACCTATTTTTCATTTGCTATGTAACATAAATATTTCATGATATTCTAATTTCTATTAAAATATAATCGTAACTCCTATAATATCGATTTCCGGTATAAATGTTTCTTTGCAATTATATATTTTCCATTAGAAAATATAATTTAAAATAACAATTGTTATACAGAAAGAAACGTTCAAAGTACTTATTTAATTAAATAACTCGATTAAACGAATTAAGAAATATAAATTAAATATTAGTACATTACATAGATTTTAAATTTGATCGATATCAACGAATCACTGCGCATAGACAATGCAACAATTCGACTTGCGCGGTTTGACCCTATTCACAATTTAAATTGTATCCGTTAGTTCTTTTTGCCGCGGAATCGCGAGTGTCCACACCTAATCGGCAGCACAATTTATTCGAAAAAAGAAGCCACCGATTCTGACGATATTGCAATTCTCGCCCAAGTTGCTGCACAAACGCATCTACGAATGGTGAGTTTATATAATTATTGTAGAATATCGTAAAAATTTCAAAGTAAATTAAAAAATAAGCGATGGGGAAAATTCGAACTAGATATTCCGTTCAATTTTATAATTAATTTTGAGATAGATTTACGAACACTTTATCGATTGCATGTAAAATATGAATTTTATGTCGAAATTAAAAATTGTACGCATTTTCGGTATTAATAGCGAAAGAAATATGTACATAAAATTCAAATTTACTCGACGTATTCCAACATTCAAAAATGGCTGTTGCAACTCATCTTTTACCACCATATTGCTTTCTCGTTTCATCTTACATTCGAAAATTCATATGAACAATATAAAAGATTTTTTATAATTAACTATATAAAATTCATTTTCTTAACAGCCGATGTTATTGAAAAAATAGTAACATTTTAAATTACATACATACTTTATTATGCATATGAATTTTAACATAGAGAGACAAAATTATTCCTTTACAATGAATTAAGACATTCTCTATTCATTTTCATAAATGATAACAAATATTTTCGATAACGTAAACTTCACTGAGCGCATTTTAAATATCGTTTACGATGTTTAGCAATTATTTCAAATTTTCTCGTTATAATGATACCAAAGAGGTCGTGAATTTTTTTTTTTTTTAGTTTATAAAAAGAATAAAAAATATCATTAACATAATGTATAATGAGGTATGATATAGCACATGTATATTTAAGATTAAAATCTAATTCGATGCATGAAATTACAAATACTAACATTCACAAAAGTTGGAAGTTTACTAAAATCCAGACTGAATAAAATAGTGCATAAAAGTTTCTTAAAAAAAAAACTCAAACATCCTTCAATAAAATATAATACACGAAAAATCAGGTTACAAAAAACATTGGCACAAAGATTTTCCCCCCTTGGTATCCATTCTTCTATTCTTTCAACCATGTGCCAGTTAATCTGAATATTTCAGAAAACTCTTTTACATATGCGCCGCAAAGATATAATTTTGAGAAAATCGTATTTATGTCTTGAGATTATTCATTTACAATTAATGCGATGAGACATTATTAACATCGTGTCTCGTACAAACCACTTCGACCTATGTATCTCACCCATTTTATAACGTCGTGATCAGAATAGTTCAATTTAGATTCAAATACTTTCAAATAGCGAACTTTGAATCCAGAGGGCGCAAACGGTACTTCGAAGTTCATCGATATCGGTGGTCGGGTCCACCTTTTCTTCGTGTCCGTTTCTAGCAAATCGATTTCTGCTGATAACTGAGTTTCCTTCATGCCAGCCATGCGCTTAATTTTCCATACAATAGCATTTTCGGATGCTTTGTATTTTGCCTTCCCTTTCAAGCAAATCAATTGTACGCCAGCGGTATTCAGTGGTGTAGGCACCCTAACTTCGATCTTTTGTCCCAACAGAGAAGACTTAAAGTTTGATTTCAGTACTGCTTTTACTTCCATCTTTGTACGCCCTACTTCGCGTACTAATGGAATGACGCGGAATGGCAATGATATATCCTTCGTTGTACGATATCTGAAAAACATCGCCAAAGAATATTCAAAAAACTGTACAGTTTATTAGCATTATTTTTTGATACTTGTAATATCTTCTTGTATGTTTTTTTACCTCATCAACTCGAATTCTCCATCAGGAGGAATAAAACTGATGGCATGTTCTGTCTCGAATTTACTAAGCTTGACACACTGATGAAATTGGCAGTCATCGATTACAACAACAGGTTTCCCAGATCTAGCACCGGTAGGGTCATCTCCGCCACCACCCAAACCACTGCCACCTTTCATAGCTCTAACTTCCATAAACATTTTATCATTGATTCCAAACTTACATTCTGGCATTCCAGACAGATAAGATTTCATCACAACCTATTGCAATGATAGAAATACAATGTTACTAAATTTCGAAACTTTCGAAAAAAACTTCATCTCCTTTCATATTTTTTTTTGCTTTTAAATAATTACCTTTCCAGCAACATGTGCACTTAATACTTGTCCTTGAGGACTCATTAAAAGATTTACATACTCGAGAACATCAAGAAACAATTCATTACGTCTGTATTTAATACCCTCTCTTCTCCATCCAATTTGACCAGTGACTTGCGAAGTTATTTGAGCTTGTTCTTCCTTTGTTGCTGATTTTACTCCTTGTTGAGTAATAAATGTCTTTAACACTCCAGTATCACAATTCTGTGGATACCCGAAATCCAAGATTTCTGAACAATAAATTTAATTATATTTTAACCTTAGAAAGAAAATACTTTTCATTTCCTTATGTAAATATCCTTATGAAACATTATAGATCATTATAATACTAACCATCCAATAGTTCATAGATTAACACAAAGTTGTTCTTGATATTTTCTTCAGAAATCTTACCAAAGTATGACTGCATAACATCAATAATTTTTAACAAGAATTCAAAAACCATTGCAGCATTAACATTTTGTTTGGTAACAGCAGCTAGCCAGATATTAGCACGTTTTATATGAAAGAATGATGTTCTGGCAATATTAGTAACAGGAGATCGTACTTGTTGCCTAGCATGGATAACATTGACACGAAATGCATCAACTGCATTTCGTCCAATGTCATCTCTATACACTCTAGAAATGAGTACTTCTCCTTTATGATTATAGACGAATAAACCCCCTATCATTTTGACAGAGGGTACCTCTTATTGCTTTAACTACAATCAACCTAAAAACAAGCAATATTTATCTATCATTATATAAATTTAGGACAGCTTCGATTATATTAATACATTTTTTACAATGAAATTTATCTAGTATATACCTAATATTTAAAACATTGAAAAAAAAATTGTCTTAAATTCCACATTAGAACTCTGAATATATTAATTTTAAATCTATAATAACATAAATGTAACGTGCATTTAAAGATATTTTTAGACCTTTAAAAAAATTTGAAAAATCAATGAATGCAAAATACGATAGGAAAATCTTTTTGCAGCAATACTGTATTAATTCTACCTGAATGTTATAAAGATTACCTTTAAAAAAATTCAGAGGAACAATTTATTTAAAAAGTAACATAAAGTTCTTACATCGCGTAAAAGATAACGCCCCTTTTCTTAAATGACATTTGAGGTTCTCTAATATGTCTTGTAAACGGTTAGTATTATTGATCGGAAATGAACGGCCTATACCGTAGACATTATCATTATTAAAGGGTTCTTTGAAAATTACAGAATGTAGATATTCGTATATATGAATTCCAAAGTTATAAAAAAAATCACTTACACATGGCTCTTATTGCGATTAATAAAAATAAGGGATACTAATTTGTATCAGCCTCCGAAACGTATAGTAACAGTACCAACCTACTGATACAAGTGCGAACTATCAAATGACGAAAGCAACACCCACTTCTTTGTACTACGTGTCTCAGAGGCATATGCTATTATAAATTATGTTTGAAATCACAATTGGTTCATATAATGCATAACAGTGTACCGTATCTAAATTTAGATTCGACTGATCATCATTACATTTAGAAATATCTTAATTATACTTTTATGGGGCAAATAAGGTTGTTGTATTGATTTCAAAACCGGTAGTTGTACATTTATATACTTAATCACTATAATAAAAATATTTAGAAAATATTGGATGATATTTGTAAAGAATTTATACCAGTTAAATCTTCTCTTCTTCATATAGTCAGAAAACCTTTTATTTACATGGATTATATTACTCTGATAATACAGTCAACAAAATATATGTATAATTTGAACTTATACCTTTAATAATGTAGGAAATTCATATTTATTTTGTTATTTCATATCTATATATACCATATATTTTAATCGAATAAAATACAAAGTTCAACAACTCGTTTAATTGATATTTTAAAATCTTATACCTAAAAGATAGTATATCAAGTGTTTATATCAACGCCTGCGCGTTGCAATATTTTCAGATGCATGTGTACCAAGTATTACAAAAATGATTTGCATACTAAAGAACTGAATACTTCATAGTTATGAAATTTTAATTAAAGTGGCCACTTGTAATTTTGACAATGGCTGACCAAGATGCAAATAATAATAATCTTCCTTTGAGAGAAAATTTAGTAAGTTCTTATAATTCGTAGGTTATATATAGATGTATATGTGTATATATATATATGTATATATACGTATATTTATTTAGATATTTTAATATTTTTCTATATACTATTGAATATAAGACTAGCGATAAACATGAGACATCTCTTGAATCATTATATAAGTTTCACAAATAAAGTGTCTTCAGATACATATAAGTTAGTTGACAGAAATCTTTTCTTTAAGGTAAAAACTGCTGTGGAATTTTTACAAAATCCTAAGGTACAAAGTAGTCCTGTCGGTCGTAAACAAGAGTTTCTTCAAAAAAAGGGTTTAACAGAGGAGGAAATTAAAAGGGCGTTTAAATTAGCTTCTATTGATACAACAGTTGATCAAAATGTTATCCATAGTACAAGTGATTATTCAGTGGTTCCTATTCCACCAGGTCGAATGTATCCATATTTTCAAACATACTCATACCAAATAACTATTTTCCAAAGAATTAAAGAATTCTTCAATGCTACTGCCTTAATTGGAACTACTATATATTGTGTTTACTGGTTTTATAAGGTATCATCGTATATATGTGATATCAATTCATCTCTAAGTCTTATAAGCTAATTCAAACATATTCTATTATAGAAGTTTATTGAACCCTTTTTATTTGGTCGGAAAAAAAAGAAAGATATAGAAGACTCAGTCACTGAATTAGATAAGACTGTTCAAAATTCTATGGAAGAAGTAAAGCAGTCCATTTCAAAAGTTGAGGGAGATGTACAAAAGTTGATACAGAATCAGTCTATGGATCCAATGGTACCTCAATTGGTACAAGAATTGAAACAAGAATTAGGTAGTCTCAAATCTTTACTTTTATCAAGGTATAATATACATTCATATATATAATTACACTTCAATATGATTACATATTGTGGCATTATTAGAATGTATTATGTAATCAACAATTTAAATAGTAACATTTATTGCTATACAAGATAATCATTCTGGTCTTTACATCACATACTATTTTATTTTTAAGTTTATACATTCATCTTAAGATATAATTTTTATACAAAAGTTTATTTTATACTTTTTTTATGCTGACTCACACGCATACAAATATGTATATATTTGAAATCCAATCACTCCTATACATTCATTTAAAAATATAAAAGTAAAAAGTTTTTTTTTAATAAAAGAACTATAAAATATATCAATCAAATTGTGATTGGTTACAAAAAATATATAAAAAACACAGATTCTAGATTTAGTACTCTTGCATAATTTTGTAATTTAGTCTTAACAAAATTTTGTAAAATTTGTACATAGAAAGTCAAGGGATTTAAAGGTATCTCTATTTATCAACAATTCGAATGTTAAACAGAAAACAATTTCCAAGTGCACCAGCATCAACATTAGCACCAGCTATATCTATACCAACATGGCAATTAGATGCTGCAGGTACAAGTCAAGAAAAATCAACTGAACGAGAAGATGATGCTGGAAGTGGAAGTAGTGCTAATAATTCAGATAGTTCTCTGGAAATGATACGTGAAGATCCACCCAAGGTGTAAAATTAACATAGTTTGTAAACATTCACTTCCATCATAACAGTCTTCGATATACAGAATATTCTGTGATGTCTATTAAAAGAAATAGATGATTTTGATCATGTGTAATATATATTGAAAATCGACGTTCTTACAATTATAATATTAACGATTCAACTTTCATTTTGCCCAATTTTCTTTTGACTTTGTACTGCAAAATTAAATTATAATCGTTTCTATTCTTACGGAAAATATTTAAAGCTGCTTATAAAGTAAAGGGACACATGTAATGCATCGATTTTTAAACAAATTTAAATGTTTATAAATGGTGGTTGTTACTTAATTTTGTTTTAAAAAACTTTAAAGAAGTTACTATTTTCCCCGCTTTAATTATTAGTATCGATGTTCCATCCCTGTTGTTAAAGGCTTCAAATATTGTTTAATAATTTTTATAAAAATGAAATAAAAAAATAAAATAAAAAATAAGAATATTCTTTTAGTTACATTCACAATGCAAGAACACATTACTACATAGTATTGTTCATTGTTTAAAACGGATCATCTACTTAAAATATTTAATAAAATGGGAAAGGTATGAAAACTAAAAATACGAACTATCTTTACAAACTAAATATGTACATTTTAATCCATATTTGAATTTAAAAAGACAATCGCGATACATAGAACCATATTAAGCCATGGATTATATTTATACAAGAAGTTGTTTTGCAGTGTATATTTGAAATTAAAAAATTATTATTTCCTTGACATATACATATAGTTGCATGTATGTGTCAACATACATACATGTACATACAGGTATACTATGTACAGAAAGACATTTTATTGAGTGTGGTGTAATCTTGCTTCATCCTATACCTATTACCCATGGCTATTCTTACTTTGGAATAAATTGCTATTAATAATATAAATCCATGTGAGCAATTCGTTTGATATACGTCAATAAATAAACAAGTGTTCTCAATTACACACAATTTATTTGAGAACAAATTATCATTATTTCAATCTTGTGCACATGGGCCTTTCTTTTAAATCGAAATTTTATGGTTAAGTAAAATTAACATTTATATATATGTATATACGTAGTTGTATATATACATATATAAATATTATGTAAAATGTTTAATGGCTTGATTACATTGTCCATTCATTCAAACCAATCATTCTGCAACAAATACATTCCTCATCATAGTACAAACCATATAATCTTCAATAGTACTTTTGGATGATTAAACAAGCGAACAAAGTATACAGTTATGTACGATTACACCCGTTCACTGTTACTTTATTCGTCTATTTTTTTCTATTTTTTCCTTTTTCTTCTTTTGTCTTCTTCTTGACGTTTTAACATCGTACATTGTATTTTAAACAATTTTAATTTTTCCAAAAATTTGTTGAAATCAAATATCACCTCCTCGTAGTTCTTTAATACTTTTTTTTTATTTATTATTATTAGGTATATTTCGAACAGCTGCCTCACTGATACAGTGAGTTACAGCAAAGTCCATATAAAGTGTGACTTAGTATTCTTATTTCCCTTTTTTCGTTTTTTTTGTTTTTTTTTTTTTTTTTTTTTTTTTTTTTTTTTTTTTTTTTTTTTTTTTTTTTTTTTTTTTTTTTTTTTTTTTGTTTTGTTTTATACTACACTTTGAGTTTAATAATATTATATATAACAGAAATAATTCGTTTAAAAAATATAACACCTTTTTTTTCATCATGTGTGGCAAAATACTTAAAACGTCTGTATAATATCTTTACTTAAAACAAAATTATTTCAAGTGAAATATATAAATCTATGTTAATTGAAAATCTCGATCTTTGGCAAATACTTTTTTCTTTTTTAAGTGTGTATGTGTGTGTGTGTGTGTGTGTGTGGTGTGTGGGTGTGTGTACGTATATATTATTGCGCACACATGAACATAACGAAAATATACCAGGATATTTTGTGCTGATGTAAACAGTTTGGTTGAAGGTCCCACTCCCTTTTAGACTTACTTGCTACGGTTCTGTTTTCTAACGAACGTAGAAAATGAGGACAGGGTCAGAGGATCATTGTCTCGTCATTTAGTCAGCATCCTAACGTCTATTATCAATAACAATAATCCTAGATTAAACACGCTAAACGTTTTGCAGCTCGATCTCTAATAAATCTAATTTATTACTTAATCCAAACTATGCTACCAAGTATGATGTAAATGTAAATTCCTTGAAAGAACGGACCGCACGTCCTGTGTAAAACGAAGTGCATCCAAAACTGGAAGTAAACTTAACAGAGCAGTATCTCCCGCGTCGCTAAACCATGACTTTATTGGTATTGCGTTATCTGCGATAACAGAAGAATAAAATAAACGTGTAAATAATTTCTAAAAATACATAATACATGAGTAATAATTTTAAGTGTAAAGCGTCCAAAAAAGAAAAAAAAAATATTAATCACGAAATCATAGCTGTCCAATATAACATCCAAGAAAATTTTATTATATATTCGGAGCTTCTTGTAGAAATTAATACATTTAGTTTCTAAAATTAGTATGAAATGAATTCTGCGTTACGATTTTCTTGGACGTTGCAGATGAAAAACATCGAATATCAAAATAAAATCTAATCTTTAAACTAGTACCTGATACACAGGAATTATTAAAAAAAATTATTAAAACAGTCGAAATTATTTCATTGCCAAATCGGCGTAGTGTCCAGTGCTTATTCAAGTGGAGGACCATTGGCAATTGAGCATATTTTACATCTATCCATAGGCCTGTATTCAGTGCTTGCTTACAGAACATCAACGCTGACAGCTGCAAATAGATACGGTTTTCAATAAAATTTATCTCAACTTTCGATTTTATTATTTGTTTATCCAGTCAAACTATATAAAATGTAAGTCTAGAAACTAAACAACTTGAAACAAAATTATAAAATATGCCAATGTTTTTTGTTATTAACACAGCATCATATTTAAAGTAATTACAGCAATGATAGTAGCAATAATAATAACAGTAATAAATGAAATCACATGTACATGGAAATTTGTACCAATTGCAAATGTCACAAATTAAACTAAGTATCTTAAATAGCATTTTCAGTCATAATTTCGACGTCTCATACGACAAAATTGCAATTCAAATGATTTGACATCGGTTGCCGCATAGGCTACATTAAATATACTTCTTAAAATAACGTGTTATAAAAATAATTTTGCACTGAAAAGATGAAATGAGTAAATATTCAAATTCCTAAGAATTATGGCCAAGGCATAAAACGTGGAACATATTTTCAATTAAGACATACTAACATTGGAATATAATTATATAATATTATTTATAGGTACAATTTTTTTTATGAATATGATTAAAAATCGTCTAAAAATGATTATGAAATATTTATTTTATTATTTTATTTTAAATTCAAAATAGAATTATTTCACTACACATAGTTGTGCACGTGTAAGCAAGTTCTGACTACAGGTCATGATACATAGTACATGATACAATGGAATGTATGAAAATAATATCATGAATATGCATATTAAATTTAAATACATATAATATATAAATATATCCATTTTATCTTTTATTAATTGCTTACAAATTTACAATAATTCATACACAATGTATCATGCACAAAGTAAAAATTAAAAAATTTGACAATACACGATTATTTTTAATATGTATGAAGAAATTAAAAAAATAGAAAAAAAATTAAAGAAGTAACATATTAAATCAGACAACTACACTATAAGGATAATGAGAAATTAATATTATTGCAATAGGAAAAATAAATATTATGTGTACTCACGAGGATAAGCTCTATAGGCTCCAGGACTATTATCAAGTATAAAGACTGATGCTAGGTCTGAAGAAATTGCAGATAGATCTTTAGTATAGGAACCCATTTCTGGTGTACAATGTTGTCTATAGTACCTTCTTCTTAGAATACCCCTGTTGTTATCTAACTTTTCTGCAACAGCTGCTCCATAAATTTCCATGGAAGCAGTGAAGACCACTAGTTCATACCTAAAAAGAAAAGACGAAAAATAGTAATATTTAATACATATCATATATTACATTTAAAATATCAACTATTTATAATTGATATAACTTCTTATCTAAAGCTTCAATAGATATAAAATCCAAATATAAATGCAAATGGATATTATTGTTTGATAATTAAACTTACCATTGACTAACAATATCTAAAAAGAAATCTACATGTGGTCTTTTGTGAACAAAAAATCTGACTGGATGTCTATCTATCTTCACCTTAAGAGTAAAATCTGGTGGTGTACCAAATCTAACTGTTGGTCTTGCCACTCCATCATGATGGGAGTGAATTAATGTTTCATCTAAATCCAATACTAATATTTTTCTTTTAACTATACCTGTAATATACTTTGGCCATTATAAACAATAATATCTTTCATTAATACTAATAATTGCTAGAACACTTATAATACTTACTAAGCCTATGCCTTGACAATGGAGATAATGGAAAGATCTCATACTTAACAGGTTGCATTTGTGATATCTAAAAGAATGAATCAATTATAAAACAACAATTATTTATTAGAATTCTTTATTTTACATAGATTAACAAATTTATTATCAATACAAATAAGCAATAAAAATAATAATTTACTGTAATATGTGTAATAGTTAATATCATATAAGAAAAAATGATGAATGAGGAATAATTATTGAAACATTTCTAAACTTAAAATAACTTGGTTCATAATATGCATGTGTATTATTTACATTATTAACAAAGAATTAGTATATATATAAAAAATTACATACAAAATGTCATAGAAAACAATATACATATATACATGGCTTAATAATAACTAATAATAGAATCAAATATTGAAGAACACATGAAACTATTAGAAATCCTCAAATCTCTCAGGAAAGTACTATAATTAATTGTTGCATAATTTTTAACATCAAAAACAAAAAAGCAAATGAATAATGTCAAGGGAAAAAGCTTTTAATCAAACAGTATTTTGATGTAGTCAACAGTGCATCGCTGAACACGTTGTATTGTCATAACACGATCACGATAAATATTCACTGGAAATGAAAACAATTTTTTGTAAATAGGAAAATACGAACTAATATATTTAATGAGAAAATTGTCACAATGCCAGAAGGATGTTATGTTATAAAAATCGTAATAGATAATAAGCTGATAGATGCCCGAAGCACCTACTTACGGCTCTAACCTGCTTCTTAAGGAGAAAGAAAACGCATGTCCACACTCGGGAAGCTATCGAGAGGAAAGTTCTCATCCTCATCTGCAATTGCTTCAGCATCTCTACTGATCTTCTTACCGGGCCGAAGTCCGGCAACACTTGATCTCCAGTCTCGTCTATGTTAAAGTATCTTTTTCCCTTGCAACACTCCACTTCACGTTGAAGTATTATACAAACTTTATCGTAAACAAACGTCTTTTACGCGAATACGAAACATGGAATCTGAATATTCATCAACATTACGAACCTTCCGCGTATAGTAGCGTCGTGCACGTGCAAATAGGCTTTTCCATATCTTGTCATGTTTTGATAAAAGCTACAGACAAAATCTATGCACAAATCTTTTTTACACACACCACGCAGTGGCCGCCATCTTTCGCACATCGACCCAATTTTTCCATGCGCTACGCTAGCGCGCATGATGTTCTCAAAATTTTATTTAACACGTACTGTACACGGTTTAATTCTTAACAAACCAATTGTACAAGAGGAAATCGAGAAATTAGCGATCAAGTTAATCACAGATATCGTGCAATACAAGTGTGTAAAATTAATTGCGAGAACTTCTCTGATTATTTAAAGGTTTAAAAGTAAATTTTGAATTTAAAAATTATTCCTTTAAGCCTTCAGCGATTAACATAGATTACAAGTATTGGAAACAACATGCCATAAAAAATGCCGGTACTGTATGTATACTTCATATATGTATCATATGTATCGATAATTAAAGTTTTTGATTCTGTAGATTAAGATAATTAGAGATCAGTGAAATGTTGTCTTCTTTTTTTATTAGATAAAAACACAATTATTTGTTATATCAAATTAATATTAAAACGTCATATTTAGTTTTTACTCTATGCAGAAACCAAACCACGCGGTCAGATCTTTTTCTCCTTTTTTTACAAAGATGGCGTAATATTTGTTCCTTTTATTGCTATGTTTTTCCTAAATAAGTTAAACAAGCAATATTACTAAAATTCACTGAATATTTGCCAATTTATTCTGCTATCTGGGATAATATTAATTAAACAGCACAAATTATTGTTTAGTAGGAATTTAAATAAACTATTATTCATTTGTAGACTATCTTCTTTTTGGACTAATGGAACTTACCGTAAAAGTGAAAACTTAAAAATAACTTTCTCCGGGGCTTGTAATTTTCGATTATATACATTTAAATATATATGAGAAGCATTATAATTATATTATTGTCATATTATTGGTTTGCATTTTCAAAAATTGGTTTGTCTGTTGATGTGATTGGATAATCCAATGCGCTATCCTCCTTTCACAACCGAGCGTCCATTTTAACTTACCTGATTGCTTGGTTCTGTACCAATCAGAAACAGCCATTGAAGCAAAAGGAATGGAAGCGTCGGCATTCTGTGATGTTACTAACTCGTAGATGTAACAACGGTATCAACCTTAAAATCTAGTATGACGTTTATTATACAAGCATCTGCTTGCGTTATATCAAAATACAGTGCTTTTAGTGATCGGCTCGAACGTTTCAGTTAAATTTCAATTGAATTAAATAAGGAGCCATTTTCCTTGCAAGTTCCAAGTTATACCATCAAGCTGTGAGAAGCACAATGACGGATTTAACAGGGTTACGAATGAACGTGGCCGCTCTGAAACGGGTAGACCCCTACGCAAAGGATATTCTGGAGACTGCGACGCACGTAGCACTTTATACTTTTAACGCAGTTAATAATGAGTGGGAGAAAACCAATATTGAAGGTGCTTTGTTCATATACTCGCGAAATGGCGAACCGTATAACAGTGTTCTTATCATGAACAGGTAACGAATATGTGTATGCTTATGCATGTATATACATCTGTATATGTGTATATACCTGTATGCATACCAAGTACATTTTTGTCATAAATGTTTGTCTATATTTTTTGAATATTTTAAAAACATTATAAAGACAATTAATGCAATATATATAACTCATATTATTTATTGATATATGTAATAAAGATAGTATTCTAAGAAGTATATTCTAGTTGAAGGCATCAGATACTTTAATGAGTGCTATAATTTTATTTCAATAATGGTATTATTATACACAAATATTAGTTTCTAGTTTATCAATAGTTAACCAAATTAGCATATATGTTTGAAATATAATGTTATATATTTGCTTTCTTATATTTTAACCATTGTACTACTGTATATGTTGTGGTATCTAATACTCTTACAAATGATTATTATTATCATTGTATAATAAAATATTATATATCAAGAAAATTTTATAATAACATTATAATAGATGAAATCGTAAGCCACGGATACACTTTTTATTTTCTGCTTCAATAATATTTTTTCAGATTAAATACAAATAACCTAATTGAACCAGTAACACAGGGTTTGGACTTGCAACTCCAAGAACCCTTTTTACTATATAGAAATTGCAGATGCAACATTTATGGCATTTGGTTTTATGATAAAGAAGACTGTGCTCGCATTGGTGCAATGTTGCACAAACTTATTAAAGAGTCAGAGGAATGTCGCAAGACTTATAATAAACTTGCTGTTAATGTGACAAAGGATAGTGGCTCTAATATGAACAATGTTGATATATTCAGTATGCTTAGTAAAGCTCAAGAAGATTTTAATATTAATAGAATTAATAGTAGTAGCGGAGGTGGAGGTAGTATAAAAGAAGGATTTAGCATTAAATCTCCTTTGTGTACTCCTATAACAGACGATGTATCTGGTCCACTGACTGCTCCATTAGGACCAGATGTTACTTCACAAAGCGTAATGGACTTTTTTGCAAAGGCAAAAGTTGGTATTCCATGATTAATGGGATTTATTCATTTGGAAATTGGGTGTAAAAAATATGCTAGGTTTTGTAATCTTTTTAGGTTAATACTGGGCATTTTAAGGCTGGAGATCAGCCTACTTCTGGAGCTACTGCTACAAACGAAAGTAAACCCTTGCTTGCTCGTTTAATGTCACATCCAGCAGCTCATACAGTCGAACATATCGAGAAACAACATAGATCTATAACTCCTCAATCGGTTACTCAACAACCATCCGAATCAACTCCAAAGACTGTAACGTCTGTTAACAGTCCTGGTGATATATCTTCAAACAGAACCAAAAAACGTAGCAGAACTGCTTCTCATCAAGATTCAATTTCTACACCTACGTCTCTAACTCAAGAAGTCCTATCGTCTATGGATCAAAGTGCCACAGACACGAATGGTACAACAGAATTCCTTAGGATACAATCACCTACAAATGTATCATTCTCTGCTTCAACAGATCATCATACTTCAGAAATTGGATGTAGTAACTCAAATCCACTTGCATCTTTGTTTGCTCATGCATCTGCAACATCGGTGAGTGATCGTGTATATCGATTCACGTTCGGTTATATATCTGTATAAGATTGAAGGTATAAGAGCTGAGGTTTTTTATTTTAACTTAATTAGGCATCAGAAGATATTATTACGGCTCCCACTCTATCAGGAAGAGGATCGGCACCAGCATTAATCCCTCCTGTTATGTTTGCTGCTCCTAGTCCGCCTGAACTCTTAGTCAGACCGCTAGAACCGTTGTCCAAAAATCAACTTATTCGGGCTTTTAATTATCTGTTACGAAGTGATCCGGATTTTATCAACAAACTTCATGAAGCTTATATTAAATCATTTGGTGAAATTCTGTCCTAGAACCACGACTTGTTAATTGGTGTAATTGAAACCTGTCATGCGGGTTGTGACGGTCGACTGATTATAATATCGAGCGAAACCTAGTATACTCTATGTTTCATGTATATAGATGGATCACAATGTCCTGCTCGAATTTCATTTGAACTTGACTGGTAGCCCAATTTTCGGGAAGAACAAATCATAGATACAAATAAAGATACATACCTTAAGCAGTATTTTTATAAACTAATACACTTTTTCCCAAGAAAAGGAGTCAAATGGATCGCGGATGTGCAATAAGGTATGAGACGAGTGAAAATTGTAGCAGGGAACGCGACGAAGGATGTGAAAATTGTACGATTTTAAACTGTGATGCCAAAACATTTATATTATACTAACATTTTATTGTTACTATTTCGAAACGAGACGAGACAAATTTTCTGAGCTGATCAAATAGATTACCTATTTTACGGAATAATGACATACCCTTCCTATGTATCGGGTATCGACATGGTATGTGTATGTAATTGATGAAAGGAGGAAAATAAATAGAGACCGATTACTGAAAAATTATTTCAATGTATTTTAAGTCGATTTTCGCATCGATTTATCCCTCATAAGTAACACGTGTTGTAAAACAAAGTCGTGGTACATATTTAATAATATAGTTATCATACAGTTATGTCATACTATCACAATATAATAATATTTATATGGAATACGATTACTATGTGAGTAGTACACGATGTACTAGAATAACTGATTTCCGGAAGAAGGTATCTTATACGATTAAAAAAACAAATGTCAGACTTTTAGTGTTCTTCATTCATTTTTCATCGGTATTGTTCCTCGATGGAAAAAATGCTTACTCTTATTGCAGGATTATACTTGTATCCCATGAGATTATATTGTAACGTTACTACAATCCGTGGCTAGATCCGTCTTTAAACATCGAAGTTCGACGACATCGTGAAACGCGATTACATTACAATTTGTACGCCGCCTAAATAAGCGATATCATTTAATACACGATACAAAATACATAATCTATTTACAATGCTACAATAAAGGCGATATCATGCGTTTCATTTCTTTCTTCTTTATTTCTTTTTCATTTTAATCAACGTCATGTATAAAGGTGCTGTTTCATTGGCCCTTTCTCACTCTTTAAATTTCACGACCGTCATTCAGTGTCGTCGTCGAGAGGAATTGCAGCTATCGATGCACAACATGCAATGTTATAATTTACAGCAGTCGCTTTTTCTTCACAAAATTCACAGCCAAGTGGAGCTATATAAGCCCGCTAGCTTTCTAGTTAGTCTTACTAATGTCTATCCGCTAGAACACTTTATCGAACGTCTTTGGGATTGCGAGATAATTAAACGAGAGGCACTTTCGGTGGTCCTAATAACGGCGGCCCATTATCGGGCATTCGATGTGGTCCGAGTTTGTCGCTTTGCGTAGGCTCGGGTTGAAGTAATCTAATGGCAAGACTGGCCAGTATCAGTAGAACGATTAGACCGCAAATCGGTACAGCGATTGTGGCAGTCTTGAACCATCCATCCGTTGACTGACCCCCATGATTGATCGGCTGCACTGGGCCAAGGAAAGGTCGCTGGTCACCCACCAACACTGTTAACAATAAAAAGTCCTTCGTTATATATCAGATTGCTTGAAATAAATTATACAAAAGGTCTCATTATTCATAAATTCACACAACCTTCGACTTTCGCTATTGTTTTAAGTGAACGGTACGAGACTCGTAGAATAATATACACGTACATATATGTACATATACATATATATATATATATATATATATATTTTTCTCTTTTTTCTTTTCAATACGTGTACCGTTGAACTCTAGGTTCGTCGCGATGCATGGGAAATAAATGCGAATAATCGAATTAAATGCGTACAGAACGAAATTACCATCTCGCGATATCGAGGCAAAACGAATAGAACGTGACTTGTATCGTAAAGAATTCGTTGCAAAATAAACCGCGAGATGCGTACGAAAATAGCATTATAGAGAAACGCGAAAACACCATTCTTGATGGCATCACATCGAGTTAAGTCCGTACAATTTTAATGATCGTGCAATGAGAACATTCATTTAACCTTGAAGAGTCTTGTTGAGCCTGTTTCTCATGGCTGGGCTATCTACGTGGTTGCAGAGATCCTGCTCGCAACAGAGGTATCCCGTGGGACATTGCCGATCTTTGAAGCTCTCGTCGAGACAACCACTGTAAGCGCTGTGTGCTCCTCTTAATAATATCGGATTTGCATTGGATGGTAATTCGGTGAAGCAGCCCCTGCCACGGCACATGTATCCTTGAGGCACGCATTCCGGTTGATTGCAATAGCACCTCACTTCTCGGACGTACGGTGAGTCTGTAAATGAAAAATCATATCTAGTTTAATTAACCTTTCTTATTACGATTTAATATGTTGCAAGGAGAAGACAAATTTTCGTGCAAGGACATCGAGTTCACGATCGAGGAAGACTGTCGCCGATGAAACGGGAATAACGTTGCGAGTTTAACGATTACAGCGGTAAATCATCTTCGCAGTGGCCGGCGTTCGAAATCCTCGAACAGAAGGAGAGAACTTTGAGGTCAGAGGACATGCTTGCGAACTGGAATAATACCGCGAAAGTACGATAAAGCGAGACATTTCACCGAGGAAAAGAATCTCGTCGTCTTCTTTTCGTACATTTTTCGATAGTAACATTTGCGATTGATAATAAATGACTCATTCCGATTAATGACGCAATAAGCCGGCGATATACGTCTATATACGTGGCAAGTTTCCTTGTACTTGTTTCCGTTTAAACATGCCGAATGTAATAATTTTCGATCAGCGAATTTATAGGAGTGAGGCGATAGACCGCTAGGTTTTGCTAATTGATTGTAATCAATCTTTATTTATAAGTTGGTACTCGATGAGACCATTCCAGCGATATAATGGCAGTGTACGATCCTCGAGAATTTTCACGTTCGAGCATCTTATAGGCACAACAGCATTGATATACTTGGCGGCCTCCCCTAATGAGTTCTCGACTGAAAGTCATAAAAGATTATACCCTGCTCGTCGCAACAGGTATACAGAGCTTACTTTCATTTACCTGCCGGCTACCAAGCCTTGCTACGTTCTTTAAAGGGGCTCGTAATTTTCTTTGGACGATGCGAATATCGTACTGCATAGTTTGGAAAATAAGGCACGAGATAAAACGGTGTACGCACCTCGGCGGCGTATTTGCCAAACAAATTTCTCGAAATAAATGCTATAGAGGCGAAAAATTTAGATAAAACGAAATGTTTGAGATCTTTCGCTCGGAGAGATTTCAACCGGGGGGTCTGGAAGAAATCCACCACGAGAAACAGGCTCGATACACTGGGACCCCGTGCTTGACATAGCGTAAATATACATTACACGGAGAGAGTAGAGTTCTCTCTCCGCGGTGTGTTAATGAGGGCCGTATGAAATAAACAAAGAGACACGGAGCAGTTCGCAGTGACTAACCATCGTGCCGCTTGTTTATTATGATAATGCGAAGCCATCTTTATCCGTGACTTTACTCTTGCCCGTTTAGCCTTCTCTCAGCCTCTCCCTTCGCATTGCTTCCCTCGGTCAACGGAATAATTTATTTCGCCGCGCGCGAGCTGCCACGTGGATTTCTCTGCAACGAATTCCGTGTCGATGCAACGAAATAATTCGTCAGCACGATCGAACCGTTGTCTCGATGACGATTTCATTTGCTCTTCGATGAAACTTCTCAGGCGATCGCGATGGCAGCGCCATTCTTCTCCCTTTCCGCCATTTTAGAAGTCTAGAATTAACGATAAGGGGATCGATCGTCGCGAAACTCGAGAATCGCGAAGCGCCTTGGACCCCTTCGTCGGTGGAACAAAGGATTCTGGTTTTGCAACGATTAGCCGTAGCACACTTGTTTATTATGGTAATGCGAGGCCATCTTTATCCGCGATATTACTCCGTCTACCCCCTCAAACCCTCTCTCCACCTCTCCCCCATTAAACGATCCTTTCTCCCTCGACAAAACTTCTTACGTCCCCCTCTTTCTCTTCTGACTTCTTGCTAATAAGCTTGCAGCGGTGCCCTCCCTCTTACTCTCCCTCCCCCTCTCTCGCTCTCTTCTTTCTCCTTCTCCCTTTCACCCTCTCGTTTTCTCTTCCCTCGTCGCGCATCTTCCTCTCTGTTTGGTCCACGAGGCCCGACTCATCGGGGAATAAAAAACGCTAAAACAGCCGAGTCACAAAAGAAAGATTAAAGTGGAGAGAATATATGGAGAGAGGCATGCGGCCTCTCTCGTTGTGTGCACCACTGCTGTGCCGCGGCAGGCTCGGTTGGCCGGCTCTCGCAAGCCTTTGGAACCACGGAGCAGCAGCCACCGGAGACTCGTAAGAGGGTTTTGTAGGAAAACCTCGGTTCTCCGGATTACGTAAACTTCTCGTGGCAGTTCCGATCAGACGCAAAATATCTTCTCCCGTTCTCCTGTATCCGAAAGATTCAGCCGTTCCAAAAACGTAGACAGGACAGGATTGTTCTCTCTCGGAAGGATCTCGAGAGTGTAACCTCTTCCCGACGTGTTCCATCCGACGTCTGTATATCGTAGTTGGATATTAGAGTTGGACGAGGTAATGGCAAGTTTCTCTGGAAGTTATTACTCGTTTTTTCGATCGAAGCCGCGGATAGAAAGAAATTAGAGGGAACTGTACCGCGTGGAAGGGAGAAGGGAAAGGGTGAGAGACAGAGGGAGCTGGAGAGAAGGGCCTCGTGTGCGTTTAAAATAAAAAGGGAAAAGGGGAAGCAGCGGGAGGTCGAGGAGGCCCGGGCAAAAGAGAGATACGGCCGACATGCCTGGAGCCGAAGAAGACCCGTCCGAAAACAAACAGACTGCTTCGCGGGGTCGTTCGTTATGCGTCCATGGCATATTAATTATTTCCCGACGGGCTCTACCCCCTGTCTCCCTCATTCTCTACCCGTGTTGCTCGTATTTCTTTCTTTTACATTTTTTCTTCGGTTGCTAAACGATTACAGGTTGGAGAAGCACGTGAATCGATGTTCATCGGTTCTTCCTTTTATCGCGTTATCTTCCTCGGCGACTGCCCCATACGCGTGGGACGTTTAGATCGTGCTCGCGGTGTAAGCGAAGGGAAAATTTGGAAAAATCGAGGGGATTTAACGAGCGCGACGTGTCCCTTATTTCTCGTCTCGTTTCGAGCCGGCTGATTAAAATCGGAACATTGGCAAGTCCGTTCCAGATTCGACGGATTGCCTCGATTTAATAACATTATAATCTATAATTTATGTAAATTCGCGAGCGCGTGTAGCGAATCGAATAAAGATCAGAGGAGAGGAAGGGAAAAAGAAAAAAAATATACGTTGCGATGCCGCGGGCAAAAAGGTAGACAGGTCTGAAATGCTTGACGAACGTTCTCTCTGTATGTTTTGCGCTCGTAAAACTGTCCGATTTCTTCGGGCACGATCGGCGAATTCTTCGTATTCGTATCTCTCGATAAAAGCTTTTAGCGACGCACACTACGCGAACACGCTTTCCATGAAGCTTAACCTTTAACTTACTGACGTTAGATATATGTAGCCTGCCGAGACATCGGGTATATCTAACGAGATACACGTGCTGGTTACTTGTAACTCTCAGATAAGCTTGTTTATTTGTTAAAACTACAACAACAGGCTGAGGGTTCATTTGACTCGCTCCTTATCTGGGATTAAATATTCATTTATGTAGACGAACTCCAAGTACTCGTCGTCCGGTTGTTGGTTCGCATTAAAATTTCGCTAATTAGCCGAATCTTACGCGCCATTTTACCCCCCCGAACCTCGAACCCGCGCCATTTCGATTCGCGTCTGTCAAGTATACGGAATCTAACCGCAATGTTCCGCGAAACTATTTTCTCGTTATGCTTCGTTAGAATTTCATCGGGGCAATAAGAAGCTCTCCCTGGCAAAGCCCGGCTCGATCGACGTGGAATTCAACGAGCAAAAAGATAATCGATACTCGCGTCGATAACGAGTCGCTAAAAGCGCGCTACGAAGGGTTACGATTCGTTTATCCAAACGACTCGTGCAACATGCCCGAGGATAGAAAGCCGTGCTCGACGGAAACTTGATTTGAACGAGCCCCGTTGTATATGCAATTAGAAGAGCGACGACCCATGTATATACATGCACGGGTTGCGTCGTGGCTGAACGTACACCACCGTCGGGAATGATGAAACTAATGAGTTTCTCTCGGTTCCCTCAAGTGTATCCGTAATGCACGTACATTGCGTAACAACGTCCCTCGTATGTGCGCACATTTATTTAAATCCCGTAAATTTTCTTTCGTTCCAGAGGAGCCAGGACCACGAGTTGCGGGGCACAGCGCTAACGACATTACCCGGCCAATTACAAGGTGAGTCGAACGTCGATAACTACGAATATTGGATTTTCTAATTAATAGGGACAACGTTAGCGTGTTGTGTAATGGCAATTAGCGGCACGTCGTCGACCGATGTCGATTAACGAACCTATTCGTTTCGGCTTAATCGTCGTAGGATTTATTTTCCATCGCTGGTGGTACGATCCAACATCATACGCGATTCTCCTCGTGATTTCTATTCGCTCCGTTCGCTCCATAGTGAACGGAACACACGCGTGATCGATTTTACGAATTCCCGCTGGACTCGCGTTGCTCAGTTTTATTTCTCTCTTCTCCGTTTTCTCCCACAGCCACATTTTCGTCCGTTCCAGACCGTACGTATCTCGTTTTTCTTTTCCTTTTCACGTGTGCTTCCTAGCTGGCCTAACGAAACAGCGACGAGAGAAAGTTTGGACGATGCTGTACTCAATTGTTCATTCCGGTAACCGCGTTACGAGGTAATTGTAAAACACAGAGTGACTCGGCTATCTTAATTTCTAATTAGTAACATCCACCGTTCTAAATTGCCGCAATTAGTATTCCACTGCGACATAAAGCGCGTTGGTGGTCGAGTGTCACGACAGCAGCGTTGAATTTCACGGGAGCACACCCGTGGCGATGAATTCGTTTTGCCTCTGCCATGGCGGAAAGAAAGTTGTCGTTGTCTCGCTGCGAGGGGAAAAAATCAAGGAAAAGCATTCGTCGGAACAACGATCAGGGCTTATGATACATCCAAGATTACCAACTCTCTAAGACCCGGGTTCGCGTGCATGGAAGACGAATGGTGTGTGAGGAAAGGGTCGTTTCTCAATCTTGGCAATGGTATACGTCGACTTTTGTGCGAGCCTCGTCGGTGGCAGGTCTACTGGCCTGTTGAGCGAACGATCTTTCACCGATAGTCGAAGATGTTCCGGAATTCGAAACGGTCCAGTCGGTCACTGAACTTCCA